ACACTTACTGAGGCTTCCACCATTTGTCCGCACTTAGTTAGTCTTTCCTCTTGTGTCAAGTGCGGCACATAGGGCAGAGGTCATGACTCTCCATGCATGGCGGTTCGTTGCAATCTGTTGTAGGTCTTGGATGTTTGAGTGGCCCATGAGTGAGCCTTGCTGATGATAGTTCTACGTAGGGGTTTCCCTTGGGTCTTCCACGAGATCTTTTCTCCTGTGGTGTCCAAATAAGGGCTATGTAAGGAAGTCGTGATTTAATCCATTCTAAGGGCGTGGCCGACATAGTTCCAGCGGCGTTTTCGTACCGAATCTAGACACATACTCTATGCCTGGAATTCTTGCCTTATTTGTGTATTTGTTTCGGAAATTCTGACCATTTGAAATTTAGTATTCTTCAAGGCATTTATTTTCATAAACTGTCTCATTTTGTGTCTAGACTCCTTTCGTTGATTTCCAGCTCTCGCATCCATAGGTTAGTACGGGAATCACACCAGAATTGAAGATCTTGAGTTTTGTGTGTTTGCTAAGTGTCTTTGATTTTCCAGATGTTGGACAGTTTATTGAAGGCACTAGATGCCAGTGCTATTCTAAATGGTATTTACTGGTTGCGGTAATCATCCTGTAGATGACATCTTGCCTCCCTAGAGAAAGTGAAACTGTTGACTTTTTCAAAGCTGTTGTTGTTCAGCGTGATATCAACTGAACTGTTGGTAAGGTCTAGAATTTTGTTGTTTTGCGGTGTTAATTTGGAGTCCAATTTTGTTCTGATGAAATTCTGGGAGTCGATTGATTTTTTCTGGGCGTCTGTGTGTTCCTGAACTCAGGAGTGCTATGTCGTCGGCGATGTCTAGGTCTTCCAGAATTTTGTCAACCCATGTAATGCCTAATTTGCGTTATCTATGCACTTGCGCATGACTCAGTCGATTGCTATACCAAAAAGCATCGGCGATAGGACACAGCCTTGCTTCACTCCTGTTTCCACCGGGAACCAGTCAGAATTGCCGGAATCAGTTCTTACACAGCATCGTGTTTCATTATAAAAAGATTTTATGATGTTGATATATTTGATGGGGAAACCATAGATGTTAAGCAATTTCCAGAGTGTTGGACGATGGATACTGTCGAAGGCTTTTTTGGAAGTCGACAAAGTTGATCAATAATTTCGACTGGAATTCTATAGAATCTTCAACAATTATTCTAAGAGTAAAGATGTGGTCTATGCATGACCGCTTGGATCTAAAACCGGCTTGTTCTTCCCTTAATCTTTCATCTATGGATTTTTTCAATCTTTCTAGTAGCATACTACAAAATAGTTTCCCTGGTATCGAAAGCAGGGTCCGCACTGCTTAAGAACTTTCCAGGCTCATATTGGACTAATCAACCACCTTCGTACTCATTTATCATTACTACTTTGGATGAATGTGGTCTTCATCGCTCGTGATGGACGAACAACAATGGCATGCAGAGATCACAGTATAATACATAGGGATCAGAATAACAATATGTAGAGATCACAGTAACAATATGTAGAGATGTCAGTAACAATAATTCTAGTCACATTTTATGTTGTATTTAACGCTTCTTGATACCTATTTATGTTGGAAATGGTACTATAGATAAAGCACATACTGGAAAAGAAACACGAGAGATGCGATGATTGCGTTAGAGTGCAAAAGATTCATACCTTGCCAGAGGTCTCCACTCCTTTCCTGAGGCCAAAGAACTGGATTAACCAGGTCAGAGCCAACAGAGCCAGAAGTTTCCAACTCATACTTCCCAGGGACCCTATATTGTCAGCTTCATGTAGTTTCAACACAAACCGACTGTTCAGGAAACGAACATCAGTATTTTAGCTAGTATACAATTTAGTAAACCGGTCTGCCTATCCTCCATACAGAATAGACAAAGCAACTGATTTATATGACATACACTGGCAGGACAACAACGTGGCTGCTATCGGGAATACGTCAGTTAAGTGACTGTGTGTATTCGTGTCTGCGCATGTTGTTTTGTTGATTTATTTAATATGCTGATGAAGGCCCTATAGCCGCAAAGTTCACTTTCCGTTCGTGTTTGTTAGATTGTGAAGTACGCTGGTCAGCTTTTCATTTGGTTTTATATTGTTTCAAGATATATTACATAGAATACTGCCATTTCATAATAAGACTAGTTTTATAACAGCCGAAACAAAACAATCGTCCATGGAGCACGGTGGGTCATCCAAACAAACAATATTTATCTATGATTTGACAAAAAGGTAATGCTACCAGGTCAGTAGATGACAAGTCGCCTGCCATTTTGATTGGCTAATGAGAGCTGTTGGGTTGCGTGAGCTGCCAGAGCTACGAAGTTCGTGCTCTGTGCTTGATACCATCTTCAGGTGGCAACGTAGAGAGTGGGAAGAGGAGCGGACGAGGACATGGAGAGAGAAGACGGCATAGAAATGTGAGAGCCGGAGCCTGAAAGAGTCAGGGGAAAAACCGAGCGTCTGGAATTAAAGCATATTAGAATGGGTTACTGGAATTGTCGTAGTGCCAAGCAGAGAGGACCTGTACTGGAGAGACTTATCTATGACTCACAGATCATGTTGAGAGAGATGAAAACAGGCATGCTTCGTGCGGAGTAGCAAGCATCACTTCATAGGTCCTGGGTAGTTAGCATCATTTGGATATTTTCTCCAGGTAAGGTCGGTGTGTTGGGGAATGAGCAGGCGGATAGACTGGCTGGCTCTGCACCACTTAGTGGTGAATTGATGTACGATTAGTTAGATATTGTTAGGGCCCTTTAGGGGCGAGTAAACAGTGCGCAGGCGCAGACAGAACCTTACGGTCTAAGGAGAATGGCACTGCGAGGAACATGTAGGGGATCTCAGGGAAAGAATGAGACAGATATACAGTCAGACGGTTACTGGTACCATCGGAATTGGAACTCTTCGCTTGCTGCTGAAGATGGGGACTGCGCACTTATGGCATTGTCCCAAGTGCTATGGTGTCGATTTTTATGCATAATTAAACACAGTTCAGCTGCATGGTACAAATAACAAACATGTTTTAAACTTGGAAAATTTCTCTTGAGATCGTGTAATTAATGCGACACTTTTCTATGGTTATATTATGTCATCACAATCGACTTCACTGCACATTGGTCACTCCCATGCGTGCAGTAGCCACTTCAAGTACTTCTACTAACTGTTCCCATGAGAAGTTGGCTATAATGTCTCTTATCTCGGCCTCGAATGTCGCCTAGAAGTGCCTTGCCATGCTTTGCTCCCATGTCCCGCAATCGTGTTTAGTGTCAGAGATTTGTGATTATCCACTAGTTTAATCCGTACAGCTTTGACAATATCGGCTCCGTCCATACTTCTCCCCACATGCTTGCCATTTGGTCCGCTAGCGCATTACCCTTTACGCCCGCATAACCAGGTGTGTAGATCCAGGTGAGGTAGGTTAAGTGCAAATTTTGGAATACTTTCTACCCAGCGTGTGCTAATATCGGCACGTGTGTGGGGTGTGCTACTGTCGGCACGTGTGTGGGGTGTGTTACTGTCGGCACGTGTGTGGGGAGTGCTGCTGGCTTAATCGTGACTATGTGGGAAGTGCCGCTGACTTAATCGTGACTATGTGGTATGTGCTGCTGGCTCAATCGTGACTGTGTGGGATGGTCTGCTGGCTCAATCGTGACTATATGGGATGTTCTGCTGGCTCAATCGTGACTATGTGGGATGGTCTGCTGGCTCAATCGTGACTGTGTGGGATGGTCTGCTGGCTCAATCGTGACTATGTGGGATGTTCTGCTGGCTCAATCGTGACTATGTGGGATGTTCTGCTGGCTCAATCGTGACTATATGGGATGTTCTGCTGGCTTAATCGTGACTATGTGGGATGTCTGCTGGCTCAATCGTGACTGTGTGGGATGGTCTGCTGGCTCAATCGTGACTATGTGGGATGTTCTGCTGGCTCAATCGTGACTATGTGGGATGTTTCACTGGCTCAATCGTGACTATGTGGGATGGTCTGCTGGCTCAATCGTGATTATGTGGGATGTTCTGCTGGCTCAATCGTGACTATGTGGGATGTTATGCTGGCTCAATCGTGACTATGTTCGATGTGCTGCTGGCTTAACGGAAAGTTACTGATGACGTGACTGTGTGGGTTGTGCTGCTGGCCTAATCGTGGCTATGGGGGATGTTCTGCTGGCTTAACGGAAAGTTACTGATACAGTCAGGGCCGGATTTTCTGTGAGATAAATAAGCTACAGCTTCAGGCTGACAATCTGCGAAGGGGCGTAAAACAATTCCAATTGTATGCTTTAATATATTTTAAATGCAACTGTTTGCTTAAACATATTTTAAATGCTTTTAGAAGATCATATGATATAATTTATATGATTTTGCAATCACATTCTTTACTACTTCTTTTAATAATATTATTTTTTTAAAAACATGAAACGATTGCATATTTTCATTATCCATATATTTGAATGCTTCCTGAGATCAGCTGGTGTAATTTCAAACTGTGAGGACCTTTAGTTTAGTATCCTTTTACAGGACGTAGCAGAACCAATCCCAGCATTTTATTTACTTTTTTGCTGTTGTAGTTTTTCTAGGCAAACTTTGCGTTAAGTAGTTTGCCATTGCCTCTGGACAGTCAGTTCTCGGTACCACTGTCGAAACCAACGCAAGTAAAACCGTCCGCAGATAGGATCGAACCCGGCACCTCGGCATTACGAAAGCTCGTTAACAACGCCTAAGCCACAGACACCGACTGACACTTTTAGGCATTAAACAGTTTAGGGCTTCGTCTAGTCTAAATCCGGTCCTTGAAGTCACGTGTCTGCGAATACCTGACGTGAAAAAAGTGCGTATACTCACGTGAAACACTCCTCACTGGGAAGAACCGCGTGTCGGCACTGGACGTCACGTGTGTGCGTGTACCTTGCGTGACAAAAGTGCATGTACTCACGTGAAACACTCCTCACTGGGAAGAACCGCTTATCGGTACTGGGCGTCACGTGTGTGCGTGTACCTGACGTGACAAAAGTGCGTGTACTTACCTGAAGCACTCCTCACTGGGAAGAACCGCTTATCGGTAATGGACGTCACGTGTGTGCGTGTACCTGACGTGACAAAGTGCGTATACTCACCTGCAACACACCTCACTGGGAAGAACCGCTTATCGGTATTTGACGTCACGTGAGTGCGTGCACCTGACGTGACAAAAGTGCACGTACTTACGTGAAATACTCCTCACTGGGAAGAACCGCTTATCGGTACTGGGCGTCACGTGTGTGCGTCTACCCGACGTGACAAAAGTGCGTGTAGTCACGTGAAACACTCCTCACTGGGAAGAAACGCTTATCGTTACTGGACGTCACGTGTGCGTGTACCTGACGTGACAAAGTGCGTACACTTAACTGAAACACTCCTCACTGGGAAGAACCGCTTATCGGTACTGGGCGTCACGTGTGTGCGTGTACATGGCGTGACAAAAGTGCGTGTACTCAATTGAAATACTCCTCACTGGGAAGAACCGCTTATCATTACTGAGCGTCACGTGTTTGCGTGTACCTGACGTGACAAAAGTGCGTGTATTCAGTAAAACACTCCTCACTGTGAAGAACCGCTTATCCGTACTGGACGTCACGTGTGTGCGTGTACCTGGCGTGACAAAAGTGCGCGTACTCACGTGAAATACTCCTCACTGGAAAGAACCGCTTATCGGTAGTGGACTTCACGTGTGTGCGTGTACCTGACGTGACAAAAGTACGTGTACTCACGTGAAACACTCCTTACTGGGAAGAGCCGCTTATCGGTACTGGGTGTCACATATGTGCGTGTATCTGGCGTGACAAAAGTGTGTGTACTCACGTAAAGTACTCCTCACTGGGAAGAACCGCCCTGTCGCAGTCGGCGAGGTGGGCCATTGTGAAGTTGAGTGTTAGACTCGGGGACATCATTGACATGTTAACCGACGTTAGCTTCTGCGCCACGCAGGTTGCATCCATGCGATCTAAAGTTCGGAAGACAAAACTGGGATTTAACAAACATTCGAACCGCAGCTGACAATTGGGTCCAGTTTACGTTTGCCGGCCCATCTATACAATAGCTGACCTTTCATTCACACTTTTTCTTCTACGTCGGAGGGGTGTCACATTGTTTTGCCAACAGTTACATCAGCAGCGATGTCGCGTGTTCTATACTACACGACAACACAGCTTTCAACGACCCCAGAACATCTAAACTGATCCTAACCCCACCCCCCCCCCCCCCCCCCCACCCTCCTCTACCCACCGCCTGAACCTAAGTCACACGAGAGACTTTCTTCGAAGAAAGCAGTACAACGTGACAGCCCTCTGACCTAGATCAGACTGAGAAAGTGTGTAGATAGGCCGGGAAACGTGAACAGGTCCGACAATTGTTCGTACACTTCGTGCTTTAGGGACATCATCAAGTTCCCTATCTTACTCACGCACTGATAGTTTACTGATAGTGACTGTCTCAAATTAGCATGCGTAAGAAGATCCAAATTGGCAAACTCCGACTAAATGGATTGACAGTAACGAGAAGTCCCGCCTTGAGAACCAATCTTGGCTGTACACACGGGGATACGCCGGGCGTGAAAGAAAATTAAAGAGCCGATAGACTGGCCTTGTCTACAGTGTTTGAAGAAGTATGGATTTGGCAGATAAATTAAATGCACTGCGTTCCAGAGATGGGGATCAAAGGTAGTCACAGTCGATGAACCGCCTGATAAAAATGGGTAATATTTGAGATTAGGAATTAAGAAATAAACTGCATGGCAAAGAAGATATGACACTCAACTCCTACTAAGTACATTGAGCATGCAGACACTACGATAGCTGTTGTATCGGAAGGAAGGAGCCCGAATGGATCAAACAAATGTACTCTAGGATGTCGATACAGATAACAAGTAAAAAGTAAATAAGTAATGTGCTGAACAACAAATAAATACAAGAAATTTCAAGCAAATAAATATACAAAACAAATTCTTGAAAAGAGAGCCTCTTTAGACGGTTAAGGTGGGGGTTTACTCCTCTTACTAATTTTCAGAGGGGGCCTTGTCGTTTCCTAATCTCTTCTGGTTTAGATGTTTCTCCAGGTCCTATTGCCAAAATTGCTATCACCTTCCCTCTTAACCTCATCCTGCCAACTGGCGAAGTCGCCCATGTGTCTCCACAGATCACGATCCCTGGTTGCCTGGAACAGCTCTCTTTGCGATATTCTTCCATGCCATCGTTTCAGCCCACCCAGCATCATCTCTCTCGGTCTGCCTCTACCCTTTTCCCCACTGATATTTCCAGTTACCACGATGTTCTCCAATGTCTCTCTTCTTATTTTGTGGCCAAAGAACAGTGTTTGTCTCTTTCTTATTGTTGTAAATAGAGATCTACTTTCATTAGCTTCTTTCTGGATTTACTGCATACCAAAAAATACCAGTACCAATAATTTCAAGAAGGGCTTACCAAGAGTAATATTTACAGCTTCAGCCTGACTCGTGTTTGAGAAATCTGGTCTGTGCGTGATACAGAACTTGGTGTTCCATGCATTGTCGCACGTCGACCAGGGCAAGGAATTGTCCAGGGAGATCAAGGAGGTCAGCAAATAGAATATGGCGTACATAATGATGACGTTGTAGTAGAGGCAGACCATGAAGGATATCAGCACCATTGCGATACCGACACCTGGCGGAAACATTAGTTGGTGTACGAGCTAAGGTAAATACGGTTTCATGGAAACAACAGTTATGAAAAGTATAGTAAACAAAGTTTTGTAAAAACAGTAGTTACCGTATTTTTTTTTTTTTTTTCATTACTGAATGTCGGTTCAAGGGCGTCAAAAATTTGGGTGCTGGAGGTGGCGGGGCGTGGGGGTATTACATGTCATTGTCCTGTATAGTTTTTGCACCCGTCTTCGCACTCAAAGTTTCGCACTTGTTACTTCAGAAATTATTGTGTCCACTAAGATTATGATTCAACCACTTGATGTCAGCATCAACAAAACTTTCAAAGTTGCCATGAGAGATGAATGGAACCAATGGATGAAGTCTTCTGGGGACAATATGACCCTAGCAGCTAGTGTGAAGAAACCAACAGTATGAGGAGTTTGCATCTGTGTGAAAAAATTTTGGGATACCAATAAGATTATGATCGTAGTCAAGTCATTCAAGAATAGTGGCATTTCAAATGCCACAGATGGAACTTAGAGTGAGGCAATCCATGAAGACAGACACTGATTCGTCATCAGACACAGACGAGTTCGAGCTATGGAACTATCCCACGGGTGAGAGATTCGACAGTGACGACCAGTTTTCTGGATTCGTTAAATGTTGAATTAAGAATCGACCTCACAGCACTCGGGACACTCCCATAAGTGCTCCGTCCCCATTTTCAGAAGCAAGCGAAGAGTTCCAATTCCGATGGCACTAGTAATCGTCTGATTGTATATCCGTCTCATCCTTCCCTGAGTGTTGAGCGTCGGCCAGATCCCCTGCTAACTCCTTGCATCGCTGGATTCTATAATGAACAAAACGTGAGTTAAATAAATTTATGTAATCATATTAATTTCTTTTCCCAAACCTCCGCTAGCAAAATCAGTGTGAATCTTTTACATGGGTTCTTCTTTTGAAGTTAATTATAGTACCATCATCTTCTTCCGTGCATTCATAATTGACTTGTGGACTACAATCTTCTTCTAGATTTCTTGCACAAACAAAAATAAAATGTTTGGGTTGGTTCTGCAACATCCTGTAATGGATATGCAACTAAAGGTTGTGTGTGTGTGCGTATGTGTGCGTGTGTGTGTCTGTGTTGTGTGTAGAAACAATAGATGTATACAGCATAGTTGCTAATGTAATTTTTTTTAATGACATTTTTATTTTGTTTTGTTATTTTCTACTTGCTAGTTGTAATTACATTTTTTTTTTTAAATCACAGCAGTCAATTAAAATAAATTAAATGTCACAGATAATGAATTTACTGTTAGCAGTCACAACATTACAGTATCTGTGTCTATTAGTGCATCATAGTGTCACAGTTCTGACATCATGCCTGACTGACTGACTGACTGACTAATTGACTGACTGACTGACTGCCTGCCTGACTGACTGACTGACTGGCTGTCTATCGCGTCTGGGCTGCCACTTGAAGGTCTGACACCTTGGGATTTAAAAAAAAATCTTAATACAATCTAACATAAAGTTTTGATGGTAAACTTTCAATTGCTCTAATGTTCGACATAGTTGCTAACGTACAGAAACATAAATTTCGCTATATCACTTTTATACCTGAAGTGCCTCACCGTAAAGAAAGAAAAAGAGTCTTTAACATAATATTTTTCTTACCTGTAAAAAGTGGGCATACTCGCCAAATTGTGATTGGACCTAGTGAGCCAAACTGACCAAAGGCTAGCTCCATGAAGAACAACGGGAGTCCGCAGATGACCAGCATGATCACATAAGGAATCAGGAAGGCGCCTGCAGTAGAAATAGCGACACAGTCAGAACATCTCTTGCTGCATGATTCAATGAGCAAAGAGAGGTTTTGAAGTTTGAACAACGGATCACATGATGGCACACGAGACCACGCAGCTCCATGAGCAAAGAGAGGTTTTGAAGTTTGAGCAACGGATCACATGATGGCACACAGGACCACGCAGCTCCATGAGCAAAGAGAGGTTTTGAAGTTTGAGCAACGGATCACATGATGGCACACGAGTAGTAACCAGTATAAGTGCTCCGTTCTTCTTCTAACTCAAGTCCGAGTCCGAAGAAGCTCAGCACAGTGCCCAGACTATGAGCACCGGCATACATACATACATACATACATACATACATACATACATACATACATACATACATACATACATACATACATACATACATACATACATACATACATACATACATACATACATACATACATACATACATACATACATACATACATACATACATACATACATACAATACATACATACATACAT